AAGAGCAGAAGAGAAACAGATGAACTTCAGGTAAGAGGTCGTTCTAGAAGTGAATTAGTCCTGAATGGAGAAACCAGAGGAATACTTCCTCCCACGGCTTAGACAGGAGGCGGGACTGTGGCGTTACCGTGATTGTAAGGGTGTTAAGCTCTACTTCTCGGCGGGATCTTCTGCGACTGACCGTCGAGCATTCACACTGGAACCCCTAACTGTGTTGAGCTGCATGTTTCAGTAAATATCTGACAAGATACAGCGTATGTGAACCTGAATGGGGCGAGTATGGGGGATAATCAATTGATTCCAACGCAGGTGCTGATTGCAGCCACAAATTCTTCCGCAAGGCTGCGCTGTCAGTCAGAAATACTTTCACCTTTGCTATGAAGATATCAGCATCGGCCAGTCGGAAGCTGCACCATTCCCCCTTCTCCTACCGACCCAAGAGAGCGTGAGAAGTGATCACTCCTGGGTGACCACGGTAACACAGAGTCTTGGAATCATTAAGGTTTCGTTATTCAGATATTTTGCCGATGGTTCTGTAGGTGTTTCGCTGGATGAGACGACGAAGCCGTCTGATCTTGTGGACCTGCTCTATGTCTTCAACGGTGGCACGAAGCTGTCTGAGGTAAGGTTTTCCCCACAAGAATCCCTAAAACTGAAAAAATGATTCCTGATGATTTTCTGCTTCAAAACGCGGTCCTACAACATTTAGCACAAAATACATAAATCAGCTTTGTGCTGTGTTTCAGAACGAGGTGGCGAACATCGTTGCAGAGCATGCATCTCCTCTTATTGGAAACAGTCAGCATGCTAGGACAAGCTCCTACCTTGAACATCCGATCTTCAACAGTTACCATAGTGAGGCTCAACTCGTGCGGTAAGCTTTACAGTAGTTATGAGCCGGTTTAGAACACACAATGAAATGGTTTGAAGCAGTACAGATACAGGGCATTTCATCTGAAGCGTCTCTACAACGGCTATATGCTCCCTTGCCAATATTCCTCTCTTATGCTTACTGTCTCTCTTTCCTATAGATCCATAGAGCCATTGTTGCGCACGCAGCCACACCCCTGGTTTCCCTGAGATAGGCACTCTAAGCCCATCTCCCCTCGTTGGGTGTCCACGGCATGATTGTGAGCGCTACTGAGAGCGTTGGGTGGAGGGGTGAAAGACGCGTCAACGTTCCCGTGCGGTCTGCGTTCTCTCGTGCACACATCATCTGTGCCTCTGCCTGAGCCAACAGTCGTGCTCACAACTAAGTGCGTGAATACTCCCTCGTCCAACGTCGAGATACTAGACCGGTATATACTCTAGTTCATCTGCGCGAAAATTGGGCGTGTCAGGGAAAGTAAGACGGGGTGTCACGCCGTCAAAGCCGTTCTCTGCCTTCTTGTTGAAGCGCGCATGCGACAAAAAGTGGTAGAAAACGAGTAATACGAACGATATGATACAGTCATATCATTTGCTCGCTTTAACAACATGGTGGAGAACGGGTTTGGCACCACGCCAAACTCATCCCGCCTAACACGCAAGCGCCCGCAGCGTCACTAATAATAGAATGCCCTGTTGCTGTATTGACACAGAATGATATAAGATTGAGCACAGATAGCCACAAGTTACGTCGATGAAGAAAACTTTTAAGGTACATCAAACGGCTCGAGAACAAGGACGTCTCCCTGGCTCATTCCATGATTCCGCTCGGATCGTGCACTATGAAATTGAACGCCAGTTCGCAACTTATTGTGAGTAACTCACATGTCCTCCTATTCTCATCCCCACCGTACACGGCCTGATCGCGAAAGACGATTCTGAAATTCACTTGAAAATTTTTCTCCGCCTCTTAGTCAAATGCGCTCTTCATTCGTTTCATCTCCAGTTCACTTTATCAGATTTTCTCGTCCTTTTCAGCCTAAATTCACTTCATTCGATTTCCTTGTTTTTTTTAGCCGATCACATGGGATACGTTTAATGGTCTTCATCCGTTCGCACCAGTCTCACAGGCGGCAGGCTACCAAAAAATTTTCAACGACGTGGAACGATGGCTGTGCGAGAATCACAGGATACGACCATTTCAGGTAATAAATTGACTGCCAAGCTTGCTGGAAGCACTCTTAATAGCGACGAGGCCACGCCCGATTCCACTTGTCTGCGACCTCTCAACGGGGTAATGTTCGAGGATTGCGGCTGACGCTGGTGATGAGGCGGACGAACGACAGATGGGCGTGGTCTAGTCTCGTCCACTTCTCTCCCCACCTTAGCGTTAGAAAGGGGAATTAGTCTCAGTAACTGATCAACTCTGGTGAAATGTCAACAAGAACTGTGCTGTACTTTACAGTCTTCAACCGAATTCTGGCGCCAACGGCGAATACGCCGGTTTGCTTACCATCCGAAAGTACCACATCAAGAATGGACAGGAGCAACGAAATGTGCGTCAATTTACAAAAATTTTAATTTATTTTTGTGTGCCTGATCACTCAATCATTAGCGCGAATTCCGCGCCAAATGCAAATGCGTGACGTATCCTGAATGAGCTAATCAACGTTGGCTCCATTGTAATTCATATATCATAGAAAAAAAAACAGTATTCAGGTCTGTCTCATTCCAACCTCGGCACATGGCACGAACCCTGCTTCAGCTCATATGGCCAACATGAGAGTAGTTGTAGTGGAGTCGGACAAGCACGGAAATATTAACTACTAAGATCTAGCCGCTAAGGTGAGCGAGGATGAGGGGGCCGTTGGTGTTCAGAGTGACTTGAACTTCTTCTTCGGTCATGCGTGCAACGGCGAATTGCGTAGCATGACACCTAGGTTTGAAACCACACTTACACGTCTTCGTGTGGGCGGAGTCGGGCCAGAAACACGAGTGACTGACTGTTGTCCGCCCACTCTATACAGCATGGACTGTGTCTTTAGTTCCTTTTTTCAGGCGGAGAAGTACAAGGACGAGTTATCCGCAATCATGGTGACTTATCCGTCGACACATGGTGTCTTTGAGTCGTCGATTCGTGATGTGTGCGATAAGGTTCACGAATATGGTGGTCAGGTCTATCTCGATGGAGCAAATATGAATGCTCAGGTAATCTAGACGTTACAGTTTTAGTGCAGCTGAAAAAATAAATATGCATTGGCGGATATCGCTAACCTCTCTTCCTCTTCCTTTACCGCGCTAACGTTTTCTTCAATGCTTTTCTTGTAGAGCCTGTGGGCATGTCAGGAAACTATTTTCGGCCCTGCGCCAGCCTGTTTTCACCAATTGTTGTCGCTTGCCCGCTTTAACAATTGGCGGACACGGTCTAGCGTTGCGCCAAACCCAGTCCTCCTCCTTACGAAAATTCACGAAGTAAAACACTGAATATTCTAGGTCGGCTTGTGTCGTCCGGGTGATGATACGGCAGTGACGTCTCGCATCTTAACCTACACAAGACCTTCTGCATACCACATGGCGGTGGTGGACCAGGCATTGGTCCCATCGGAGTGTAAGTCCAGCAAAGTTCCCTCTTTCGACAGTTTTGCCTCTCTGGCTTCCGAATCCTGTTGGACCACAAAGCGCTGAGCGAGAAAGAAGAGTACTACACTAGATGTAAAACTGGATTTGGAAACCCATCTGCGCAGTTTTCGCTGCTGCCTACTTCTTACCAATAATAACCAATTATTTATTTATTTTTATTATTGGCAAACTAGGCAAAGCTACACCCTAATCTTACCCATCCTGCCCCCGCGATGCCATTTTGATGGCTATAGCAATTGAGAAAGAGTCCTCGTAATGCTTTGCACGCTAAACCGGTGCGTGGGAGATGCAGTTCCAAGTTTTGATTGTGGTTCGTGTCATTTTTTTTTAAACTTTTTTTTAAAATTTTTTTAAATCAATATTTCTACCATAACTTTGCCAACAGGCTTCTTGACCACAACCAATAGTGTTCCTAATAAAATAGTCACAGTAATATTAATCAGTAAGGAATGGAACGTAATTTCATTATCCGACGTTTTTAGGCTCCTCGCTAAAGTTCATGCGTGCTCGAAATAGTAAATTCTTGCGCAGTTCAATCCTTATTCAATGGTGGATGAATTACTTCGCCGAGCCTTCCTATCGACTTCGTGTGCCAACAGCTTTTGGCTATCAGGGCAAAGAAATCACCCATTCTGAGAGGGTAAGAGGCGGCTTCGATGGCGCAGTGGATAGCGCACTAGCTCGAGTAGCGCGAGGTGCGGATTAGAGTCTCGCGCGGAGTCACAACTTTTTCTTATAAGTAGAGTTCCTTGTGATAACTTTCGGGACGTGGATCACTGCCTTAAACAGCAGTTGACTTATGTTGTTCATAATTGCTGGAGTTGTTGAAAATTCTGTTGTATCATATCTCGAGCTATGGGTTAGAATTCGGTTTCCTCTATTTATAAGACTTGTGTATAGCTCAAGCTTTTGCCACTAATTATCACTGAGACATTACTCAAGAATCAAACTTCTCATTGTTTTTAGAAAGAAGCACTTGGCACCATTCCTACCTGGACACCCAGTGATTCCCGTGGAAGGACGACAAGACGGTGCTGTTGCCGGTGCACCCTGGGGATCAGCAAGGTAAAAATGTTCCGGTTCCAAATTTTTCTTATACAAATGCAGCATCGGTGAGTAGCACCATTCTTTGCAACTTCCGTTTTGTGAACAGAACACATCATCGGGTTAAGGCACATTTCCGCAAAATACGACCCCATCCAGTTCCTCTTTCGGTGCCACCCCTTTCACTAACTGCACACGATGCAAATTTTCCCAAGATTCGGTCGACGAGCTGGAGAGGAGGTAAATGTTTCGATAGAAAATGCTGTCCAGAATATGCAATGGCTTTCTAGCTGCTGGGAGGGGTATAGCGCGCATTGAACGATCGGAAAATCTCTTCGGAGGTGAGGTACATAGTTCCCTCCCCCCACTCAGCGAAACTACTTGTTCTGAGTCACACGTGCCCCGTTTGCAGAGCTGATTTCCTGAAATTGAGTTAGAAAATTGGAGCATATTGGGTCTGTTTAGCATACTGCCGATCACATGGGCTTATATCCGCATGATGGGCCATAAAGGTCTGAAGAAAGCTTCACAGATGGCTATTCTTAACGCGAACTACATGGCCAGACGATTGGAAGGAGCGTATCGTATTGTATACAAAGGTATCACCAGGAATTTTATGTATTGAAGGTGGGAGAACGTAGATAAATTACATGTATATTTCAGATGAACAAGGCCTGGTAGCTCATGAATTCATTCTCGATTTCAAACCGTTCAAAAAATCAGCTGGTATTGAAGTAGTAGATGTCGCTAAGAGACTGATGGACTACGGGTTTGTGAAAGCACTGCTGTTTCTGAAGCTCCCTGCGCTATGCATCCGCTAAGCATTGACATTGAAGGTTTCACTTCACCGACGATGTCTTGGCCAGTACATGACTGCTTGATGATTGAGCCCACGGAGTCTGAGGATAAAGGTGGGTTTAGAGAGATATCTACTATCTCAGAGACGGCACTCCTTTCAGCATTTGACAGACGCACACTCCTTTCAGCATCTGCGAATTCTAGTATTAATAAAAATTGCTAATCTGGTCGTGAAAAGCCCGTAATATTGAGAAGCTTAGAAAAGGCTAATTTTGTCATATTTCGACCCTTTTGCATAACTAAAAATTTCTTAGGCGAAATGGATCGATTGGTGGAGGCACTGCTATCGATTCGTGAAGAAATTGCGATGATCGAGAGAGGAGAGCTGGATAAGGAGAAAAATCCACTCAAGGTTAGCAGAGATGCAACTTTTCCACGATTCTTCTTTTCTTGATTGGGCTCTTGGGTTTCAAAATTACCCCCGTTGAAGGGCAGATCCAACTATTCTGTATCTAGATGAAAACCAGCATGTGAGTCAGGATTAAGCGTGGGCCGGAATATTTCATGAGAAGAAGGAGGGGGTCGAATCTTTCGGGAAGAGAGGAACCTTTTAGGCGGCTGGATCGGCACTTGGAACAATGCCTTTCAGAATTGGAAAAAAGCGTAGTTTATTGGGAAGATTTTGATAATTAGACTTTTTCTTGTTACTGCGGATTTTCTCCACCCACCTCGTCCTCTTCCACAATGTCTCAGAATTTTATGGAATTTCGGAGGCTTCAGAACCACGACCTCTGGGCTCTCTCACAAGCACGCACTCTACCATTTAGAAAGAGAAAACACACCACGAAAGCACACAGAACCCCTCCCCACCCCACGACCAACGTCGGCTTTCCGCTTACCTAAGATTGTATGTGCGCTTAATCCAGGGTCAGGATACTGCAGTAGGGTAAAGGAGCGGGTGAGGTGGACGAACGAAGTTGAGGACGGAGTAGTTTTGAGTTCCTGGTCTTGATCCTGCCCGTCTGGAACGAGGAGAAGCCTAGCTGAAGGATCATGATTCTTCTATTTTTTTCTATTGAATCATTTTCGTTTTATAAAAAACTGATTTGAATGACCGCATGGTTTCTCGCTGTCGTTCTGCAATAGACTCTTTTCTAGATGGCTCCTCACACCTTGGCCAAAGTGGCATCCAACAATTGGGATCTGCCGTACTCGAGGGAACTGGCAGCATTCCCGAAGCCATGGTGTCATCACAAATCCTGGCCAACAGTCGGACGAATCGACGATCAGTACGGTGACCGAAATCTCGTCTGCACCTGTCCACCAATCGAATCCTACCAGTAGAGACGGCCGAGCGGTTTGACTATTCTACAGATGGATAGATATTTAGCACGACGCTCAGCATTATCGCTAGTTCCGCTACTCAGAAGTTTCATTCCAACCAGTTTCCTATTCTGTGATATGTTTCCTGTCGCTCACATCATAGAGTTTGCAGCAGTGATTTTGTAAATGCGGGTATTGTTAAATGTTGCTCTGCTCAGCTGAAATGAACTTTTGAATGATTTGTTCAACGGGTCTTCGAGCAAACCCAAGAAAATAACTCCGATAAGGCCCTACATTTGCACCTGATCTTGACCACGATTTAGTAGTGGTCAACGTCAAGTTGCATGCGCGTAAAGGCGGCGATGCTCGTGAAAAGAAAAAGAGAAAACAGAATGCGACTGGCATGGTTGGCACAAGCACAATTGGCAACCACACTCTGGCTGGAATGAGTGCCGTGGGCCTTGGCGACAAGTTTGCAGCTCTCTTTTGACGCACCTCTGAGCGCGAAGATACACTTGGTAGTTGTCCACTCACATCACTTACTTTGTGAAAGACTGGACCTGTCGGTCATTGCGGAGTGGAATTTGAAGACATGGTCCGCGATAAGGAGCGTAGGTAGGTAGTGGTGTTTAAATTGGAGCAGTAGTAATAAAGCGAATCTTGTGTCAAGAGAAAATGCCAAAGAGAACGTTGGCAACGCCTTTGATAGGACCCCTCCAGTCTCAAACAATTGTAAGGGTAAAAGACCAACAAACCGCGTGTTGGGACGGGTACAGTCAGCTGATTCCGTGTAGGGAACCCTGTGACCCTAAAAGACAGTAAAGTATCCATTTCATGCTGCAGCATCGGTTTTGACTGGAAAGCAAACCTTGACAGCGGTGCTCCAAGGCGGAAAGGCGGAGAAAAGGCGATGCGTGCAATACCTTGGGGCCTTAACTCCTTCACCTTACAACTTTCTGGCGGACACTTGTACTAGGTTATCTGGTTATCCTGACGACCGTACTACCATTTCCCCCACAATCTTTTACGTTTTCGTAGGTCATCGCGAACTTTCCTCTAACCATGTATTGTTGTGGTAGCAAACTGAAACGCGACATGCCGTCCTGTTGACAGCAGTTTCTTCTCAGAAGAGAGGGCGGGGAACGGAGAAGAATTTCAAGAAAATTCCGGAAAAGAAGTTCATTCGGGAAGGCAAAGTGACTGGAAGTTGGGAAAATATACGAATGGTAGGTAGCACAGGCAAAGAAGGGGGTCTGTGCCACAGTCTAGAGGGTAGGGGAGAGGATGGATCTTCCTTAGTGTCCACAACACGGGTGCCATCTCACTTCCTACCATTTCTTTTGGAGTGACACAGGGCGTAGTTCGGCGTGGGCGGAGGGGGGTGCAATACAATTCGCACTTTTCCTTTTTCCCATCGACGAGTCGAGACACCTAGAGAACTATTTCATGAGCTTACAAGAGTTGACAGGTTCTACCATGGCAGCTCGACGAGCTCACCCCAGCTCCACAGGAGCTCGTAGGTTTCATTACAAAACGCGAAATGGAAGGTTCTTATAAAGTGAACTGTGCGAGCTTCAATGGGAGTTATTTGGTGCCTCCATCGAGCCGAAATACGTGAAACAACTACTCAAATGCCTCCAAGGAGTAAACGGCAGTCCGATGGTGGGCGCATCTGAATGGGACTAATTAGCGCGGCCTACCTGCACGGTTCCTTGTTCCGTATGTTTTAGTGCGATTGCCCGGACAGAAGATTTTCTTA